ATAAACCATTCATTAACATTTTTATAACACTGTTTACAATTCAATAGCATTCCTGGACGGCATTAGTATGAGAAAGACAATCAATAATGCACTCGTACAAACAATTCGGTGTTTTTTATATTCGATATGCAAGAAGTGATTTTCAACTGAACACCGATTTTGCCAGAACTTGCATTCAGTAAATTTCGTCCCCTTCATTCGCTTTGTAAAGGTTTTCGAACGCAGGCAAAATGCCACGAAGAAATCGAATATCACTCGAACACAGAGAGAGAATCGTAAGAGGATTTGAGGACGAGGAGGAAGATTATCTTGTGGTCGCGGACACGCTCGGAGTGAACCGCTCAACGGCAAGAGGCATTGTGGCGTGCTACATCAGAGAGGGCAGGATCCAGGAAAGACCACGAGGAGGTTGAAACAACGTGCGCGTGGACGAAGAGATGAGAGATTGCCGAGAGGAAATCATAAACGAAAACTGTTTACTCACACTTGCTCGGATAAACAGTGGACTGAGGAGTCGGCTACCACTAAAACCTAAGATCCATGAACGCACCGTGGCAAGGACATCAGACGGGATGCTTTTCCGATTGAAACTTGCAAGGCCCCTCCCTGCGGACAGGAACAGACCTGGTGTGATGAACAAGCGAGTGGATTACGCTTCCTGGTTTATGAACCATGCCGTAGTGCGCCACTGTGTGTTTGTCGACGAATGCGGCTACAACATTTGGACGGCCAGAAGCCACGGTAGAGTGCGGCAGGGAGAGAGGGCGTACCGTCAAGTATGCGACGAGGACGAAACTTGACTATGACAATGGCAATTTCGCCGATCAATGGACTTGTGTTTTCCTCAGCAGCTCTTAGCAGAATCAATGCTGCGCGTTTTGATAACTTCCTGGCACAGGCGAGGACAAATCTAGATCCCGACGAGGAGGTGATCTTTGTGTATGACGGAGCACCGGCCCACCGAAACCCGGTCATTCCCGCCCCAAACACGAGCTTAAAATGCTTCCTCCCCACAGTCCTTTCCCAAACATCGTGGAGCAGGCAATAAGCTGTCTGAAAGCGGCGATCAAGGCTAACATCTCGCGTTCGGAAACTCAAAACGCATGGATAACTGAGATGAGGCCAGAGCCAGAGGAATCCCACTGGGGTAGTTTCGAACACAACTGCTTGAGGCTCTGCACAGAAACATCGACACTGTGACCGCGGCTAAAAGTGCGCAATGGTACCGCTCTATGCAGACCTATCTGCCAAAATGTTTGAATAGAGAGATAATTTTGGAATAGGTATTTTTCAATTGGAATTCGATGTTTGAATATTGAAAATAAAAAACGCTTAATTGTTTGTAAAAGCGCATAAATGATTGTCTTATTCATACTTATGCTGTCCAGGAATGCTATTGAATTGCAAACAGTGTGATTAAAATGTTAATGAATGGTTTATGCACGATCTTGATTATGTATGGTCTCTATTGACTTTCAAGATGGTGTAAATGACTTGAATGAGAGGGCAAATGAAAGTATATTTTTCTCTTTTGTTTGACGAATAACGCCTAAGAATGCCTAAAATTGTTCTTGAATGTTGATTAAAATGCAAAAATCGTTAATGAATCTGATTAACGTCCAAATGTATTTTTGACTCTAATGATTGTATTTCCACGCAATTGTTCGCCCCTTAACGCAAATGAATGCGTATTTTCTCGTAATAAACAACAAAAGGTGTATTAAAGGAAATAAAGCAATTGTGATATGACGCCGTATAGGCCTATTGGAGTGAGGCTGGAGGCGACCTTGCTGCTCAGCGCATTTTGAAAAAGCTAGCTGTAACTGAAAGAAAAGAGGCCGAAAGAAGATTTTCT